TTTGTGAAGAGGCCTCAAGCAGTTACAGCCATGCAACTAGACCATTTCCAGAAAAAAACACTTCTCACTCACACACCAACACAAAAGTAATATCTAGCACCGTTAACTCACTTAAATTATAGAGAAAAGGGTCAAAAAGCATTAAAGTGTATATCTTACAGTATAGTTCTGTTTAAACCATAGAAAATCAATTTAATTGCCCCCTCTCTGAAAGCATTCAAGGCCAGGCTGGATGGGGCTTTGAGCAACCTGATCTAGGGAGAGGTGTCCCTGCCTATAGCAAGGGATTGGAACAAGATGATCTTAAAGGTCCCTTTCAACCCAAACCATTCTATGACTCTGTTTAAATTAAGGATCTCTAGAATCTGAAAATCCTATCTACAGTGCTCAGTGTTGTTTTTGTGTCTCAGAAAAATACAAAAAAATATAGTATTTCCTAGCCATTGCATAGTGAAGTGTGGGGTTCACAGGGTCATATGGTCTTTCACACCATCCTTAAGCCACCAAAATTGATCACCTTTAAGACTTGTATATTCAGCAGTATTTTCTAACTGCAGAAACACTCCTGCCTAGTTAGACAACTGCTTAAAGTTATCAAGCCCCATTTTGGAAGTTATATAAACTCCTCTGACCCTCTACCCTGCTGTGAAGGCAATTTCAAGCCTTTATTGATAGCTGGAAATGTACAAAGATTACGATTTTATCTACAAAGTGCTGGGATAAGGTTTTTATTATTTGCCACTTTTTTCCAGATGTTGCAACCGCCAATTTCTGGAATATAATCTACTCTTCTCCTGGCAGAGACATCTCCTATCCCATAGAAGTGGAGACTTTCCTTGTTATTTTCTGTTATGTGGTAATGCATAGTTTCCTGAATAGAAAAATACATTGAAGCTGACAGAAAACATATAGCAATTTGTATATAGAATGTCTACATACAGCTATAAACACATGTAATTACTTCTGCTCAAAAGGCTTTTTTATTTAGTAGAAATGCTATGAGACTGCTTTTGCCTTAAAACTTCAAAACTAATGAGAAAGGAATTGGAAAACTTAGTCATTTCCAAAAATCCCTTTGAACTGATTTTGAAAAGGACAGAACACAGAAGGTAACAGAATACATAGCAGTGTTCTTTTTTCTTTCTGCATAGTAACGAAGAGACTACAATCTAATGCTCCCAACAATAAAAATTTAAAAAACAGCTTGTTTTTCAAACGATCATGTTTACTTATTAGTAAGTAAACTAAAGTCTTAGCCACTGATCTAAAACACAACTTCTCAAAGTCAATTGCCAGCTGCAAATCAGCTGATCAGCAAGGTTACGTAACATCAACCCACAGCACCTGGGATATGTACTTCAGTTGTCCTCAAAATTCAAATCATATTGCTTGTCTGTATTATCAGTAGCATTTGAGAACACTGTTTGGATGCATTAGGTCAAAAAACAAAGTTAAATTTTATAGTTTATATATATTAAACATGTATTAAGAAGCATTTTTACTATTGATTCCAACAGCTCCACCACACCGTAGGGAGATTTTCCTCTCATGGTTCTGATCTTTTCAGCTGATAAGATTTTATTTCCTCTAAGCTGTTCCTTCTTAGTTCTCCAATACGACTTCTAACTTTTCCAACATAGCCTAAGGTGACTAGCGCTACCAACCATTGAAATCACAATAGGCCTGAGACTGGTCAAATCAATTTAACTGTTGCAAGAAACACCATGTTATCACTTAGAAATCATTTACTAAAAAGACAGAAGTTCATACTTTTTGCATTTCCTTATCACTCTATTTTACTTCTCCAGTGAGGAAATATACATGCATATACACTGGTTTCTTTTCTCAAATGATAGGATCTGAATAACAGTATCCAAGGAAGTTTAGATTGAAGATTTAACAAGAGCTGCTTCATAGATAGGGTGGAGCACTGAAACAGGCTGCTTGGGGAAGTGTTGGAATCTATGTCCCTGGAGGTATTTAAGAGATGTGCAGACATGGCACTCAGGAACATGGTACAGTGACAGGACAAAACAGATCAGGTTAGTGGTTGGACATGGTGACCTTGAAGTTATTTTCCAAATGAATAATCCTATGTTCCCACTGAGTCTTAAAATTTTCTTGTTCTCATGTATAATTATCACAAGCTACATCTACTGTGTCTCTTTCTCTACCATTATATGCTCAAAGAATTTGGCTAGTGCTATCAGAGATGATAATAACTGAGGTAGCAGCTTCTTCAGTGGAGATGCTCATAGCAGCACCTAATAGTCAGACCATCTGGTGATCTAACCTGACCTTCAGTTTAATCCAGCATCTCAATAAAGAGCACCATCATTTTTGATAATTTTTCCAGGTAACAACCACATTTTTCTTAACCCTGTCAAATATAGTATAAAGGAAGCTCACAGAAACTGAGGGAAATAAAAGAATAATGTGGTATGCTGCTTTCTTCCGATCTTGAAGCACCTGACAGAATTTATGTTTGGTATCTTCTCTCCTATAGGTGGCATAATTATAAGTGATGCGTAGGCAGACAGGATGTGAGTTATGAATTTCAAATGTTTCTTTACATGGAAATCAGAATGTTTCATATTTCCTCTGTGCCACGAAGTATGCAGAGACAGCACAACTGGAATGTGTAATTTCTGATAAATGTTGGTCAAGTAAAACGTATATTTAGATAAGGTACTATAGCTTTTGTTCTCTTCCACTAGGACTGAAAAATCTCATTGCTAGTCAAGTGTCAGCGTCCTGATGCAAAACACACAGAAGGTGCCTCATAAATCACCATGTTAATGCAGGAAGTGATGCCAGTGCTTTCTAGTTAGAGCAATTTAGAAAGTGACATTGTATTTTCAGCTCAGCTAGCAAAACTACACTTTAAAACGATGATTTTATTGGCACTGGCAAGAATAAAATTCCATGCTGTTACTACAGTTTTCTACTTCTCTGATTTAGGTTTACAGTGCAGACTTTTAAAAAATTCATTCCTCAGTTGAATGAAACCTGTAAACAGCATACTTTTTCTAGATGTCATATAACTATCTGGGGAAAAAAAATAGTCTTCACTACATTTCTACTAATGACATAATATTTGTTTTAAATTACAGAATTTAAATTCATTGTACCATAAAATTAGGATTATCACAAATTATGGAATGGATTCATAGCATATCATGAATTTCTGGCAGTAAGCCTGATAGTACCATTCCCATTTGTCTTTTGTTTCTTGTTTGCTCAAGTTTAGGAATTCTCCTCCCGACCTGTAAGCCAGATCGTTGTGTTCAGTGAATAGTACAAGATTCGCATAGAAAAAAAATTGATCCTTTGTTAAGAAACAGTTTTCAATTTACTACAATTTACCTCTGGAGCAGATCTTACAACATTTTACCCTAATGAATACCTGTATTAAATTAAAGGAGAGTATATTTCATTAGTACACTAGTGGAGATGGAAAGTGGGATATATAAACTGTATCCTAAAAGAACTGAACATCAAATAAATGGAATTTTATAACCAGTGATGTAAGTGTGCTTAGTTGTGAATCCAGACAGTATAATGAATGAATTCATTTCACAGAAATACAACTACCACCCATTTTAAAAACCAGAAATGTGTTTGCATTTAAAACTGTAAATAGGAACTTTTGTTAACACTTGTACTATACCGACTACCATATCAACAAAGCATCCTTTGGAAAAGCAGCTTCTTAGAAGTGCCTATTTAACCAGCAATAACCTTGCACTTGCACTTTAAGTCACTCATCTTGTGGTTAAGCAATATATTTTTAAGTCTTGGCATATTTTATGCATGTGTTGAACCTTGACATCTATGTTGCCATGGAATATTGCCATCATTTGAATATGAGACATCATTACTGTCAGTAATGATAGTTGTGAATGGCCTCATCACTGCCATTCTGACCCTAGCATGAAATCAGCCTTAGCAGAAGAAAAAAGTTCAGCCTGTTCAGAAAGAAAATTTTTGACCAATCATTGTGTTCTCAATTGTCTTTATTCTACAAATGACAAACAAATGATCAGTAACTAGCTTCTAAAGCACTAAATGCCCCCTTTGATGAAAGGATGAACGTATTATAAATTCTCCATTGTTATTACAGTCACAGGAGCCTCTGGGAACTTTCTAAAACAAAAATATTTCAGAGGATTACTTTCATCAGAAAAGAGCTCTCACATCCAAAATGAATTTCTGGTTTAAAACAAAACAAAACAAAAAAAAAAAAAACCCACTATTTTAGAACAGCCAATTGCCAAATATCTCAGGTAAACTTCTCATACCAATGCATATGTAGCTACTAAGAAATAATTAATTTTCAGCTACATAAATTGAGCATAAAAAAAATTCAAAGCTTTCACCCTACAGCAGCCACCAGTCTGACTGTTAAACAGTTGTTTTTATGTAGGTTGTGATTCAAATTCCCAGTAAAGGACAATCACCTGAATCTTTCTTAGACAAAATTAGTTCTACAAATGTATAGTATTTTTCCTCACAACTGAAGATTGCTACTGAGTAAACTGACTTTCATTCCATAATCCCGTCCAGCATAATATTTTTTAAATCTGAATTCTCAACTTGATTACAATTTTTGTAGAGTTCTGACCCAATTAAATAAATACTACAGCTGAGGCTCACTTGGCTGAGACTGCCAGATTAAATCAGGTCTTTAAACTTTATAACCTTTATATAGGTCTATATACTAGAGATTTTGTGTACAGATGCAGCAAAATACTTAAAAATTCAGCTAACTTTAAACATCTACTTCAGTAATTTTTGGATTCAGTTGAAATGTTTTGTATTATTTAAGTACTGCCATAGCTGACAGAATTTTAACAATCATGCATTATTTACAGGAATTTTAAATTCCTATTACAAGCTAAAATCTCATCAGTAAGAAGTTTTCTCCTGGAAGGAAAAACAAAAAACAAAAACACACACACACAAAATCATCAAAGATTTAAACTGAAAAGACTGGAAAAGATTCTGAAGAACTCAAATTTTCTAGGAACATCAACGTGTATAAGGGCTTTTAAAAAATATTTTTCTTAAATTTTAGTTGTCACGGAGATACATCTACCAGACTGCAAGACAGTTAGAAGAATCACTGCTGTCAACTGATGAATGTACATTGTCAAATCATTTTAAGCATTCCTTTCCCATGGTTCGACATAATCCAAGCCAAGATGTGCAAAGATTTCTTCCTCACTTCCAGCTTTGAGAAAGACCCTCTGTGAAAGAATTTTTAAAAAGGAAGTCAATAAGTGTGTTAGAAAGAAATTTCAATTGATGTTTTTACTATTTAAAAGGAGATAATTTTTGACAGTTTGACCCACTGTATACTCCACAGAATACATTCTCTTCATCAGTGTGCTCAAGGCTGACCTTGAAGCGTGAAAGCAAGTTAGAAAATAATTCTAACGCTACTTGATGCTTTCAGTTCTAATGACTTGTTTACAACACTTTGTTTTGATTGCTTTTTCAAGTCTCTGTGTGTTAGAACTCAAATAAAACCTACATTTCTCTTCAACTAGTGTCAATAACTTGACTTTCTTAATAATAAAATCATCAGTGTTTTATAAATTAACATAGTAATATTCTCTATAAATCTATTCAAGATGATTCAAAGGTTACACTAATTATGTATTTCTAAACGTTACAGTTGTCAAAGCTTTCCAAATTTCTATTACTTATAGAAGCTTATCTGAAAACAAGACAATATAAAAATTCCATCTGTAAAAGCAGCTGAAAATACAAGATCAACAACTGCAACTGAGGTTTTAAATGCACTTTCTTAATGAATATTTTACAGTAGAAATCAATTTTTTCACATCTGCTATTTTGATATCACAGAAGAATATTTTTGCACAAAAGCCATCCAGAAACCCTACCTCCGTTATGAAAACCAGTGTAATAAAATACATTACTTCTTAATGCTTATATCTTATGTCTATAAGTATTCTTCTTATCACTGACCTACATTAGTAACTACAAAAACAAACAAACAAACAAAACCTGTAATGTAGATGAATATTCAAACTGGAAACCTCACTGTTTGGAGGATATTGAAAGCAAGAGCAAGTTAATTATTATTGAAAAAAATACTTAATATTTCAGCAGTTCCTGAATCATTTTGAGTTAAACCTCATTGGCTTCAGCTCTAAAAAACCTCCAACTTCTGTGCATTGAAAACTTCAGGGTTAAGTTTTCACAATCTAAATTCTAAATTTAATTTCTACTGTGAAACAGATGAAGCTGAATGGAAAACTACATACTACTGAATCCTCCTTAGTTAGCAGAATCTGATTATAGTGAAGTTTAGCAATATCTGTGCCAGCACATACAAGGCTCTGATTCTGCCATTCCAGAATTTCCAACAAGCAAAGTAGGTAATTTGAGAGCAGCTGTGGCTGATATTCTCTCGAATCCATCCAAAGTTATGAATTCATTTCTTTTTCTTATCAAGTAGTTTCTACTCAGTGAAGTAAAAAGGAACATCTTCATTATTTTATTTTGAGAGAGTTCATCTTCAACTAGACAAAAAAAACTTAATAAGCAAATATTTAAAGTTAATGGTAATTATGGCAAATAAGTATTCTTTCAGTGCTATTAATAAAAAACGTACAATTAATATCAGCAACTTTTAAAACTGCATCATTTTCTGTACTATCCCATATAAATGAGTAGTAAGCAACTTTCACAAAAGGTGCCTCAGAAGCCACTTGTTTATGCCATTAAGTCTCTGGTATTCATATTATTCATATTGCATAGGTTTGCACTTGCGGAACTGTCATGTATCAATTACACTTTACTGCACAACCAAACTAAAACCACTGAAAAAAATATTTCCTATTGAGGTCAGTGGAAATTCTACTAAGTTCTACTACAGATACACTAACTTGGGGCAGTAAAAGTTTCCATAAGGATTAAATTTGCTTTAAGAGTGCAACGAAAGAGTACTTAGCAAGGAATATGAAATCGTTTTCCTGTAATTAATGCTAACTATAAAAGAACTTTTTCATATTCAAGTACACCTTATCATAAATTTGAGGGAAAAATTTGGCCCATGGCTTCAGGATGTTTTGCGTTCTTAATCAAATCAGGACAAATATTTTTGATTTTACACGTGTGAAGTAAAAACAGACTCCCACACACTAAGGCATATAATCTGCCAGCATGAAAATCTCAGCAAATGAATATGCAGGCTCTAGAACCCACAATGATATAACATCACTGGAACATGAAATGTTGAAAAATAAATCACATATCCATAATGCTAGACAGTTCAAAATTGTGTCTGTAATAGCTAATATTGTTCATAAAGCATAGACAAATATTGTGTGTTTCTTTTGTTTTTCTAGAAAGTTCAAATGCCAGGTTCCAGAATAAAAGGAACCTACAAAAAAAAAACAAAAACAATGATTAGCTGAATATCAATCCCTTTTCATCTGGAGAGTACTGTAAAAAATGGTAGGAGAGAACAGAACAACAACAAAACAACAAAAACAATGAAGAAAAGAAAGTAGGAAGAAGGAAGAAAAAGGAAAGAAAGAAAAAAAAGAAAAAGGAAAAAAATATTGGAAACTCTCATCCAAGTAACAATATCAAAGATACTTCTTCCCTAGAGAGTGTCTTGGAAAGAAGGACAGGATGTTAGAGATGTTAGAGATTTCTGTTGTTGTTTGTTTGTTTGGTAAGTGATTGTTATGGAAGAGAGGACAATCCATAATTTAAATTACTGAAAATACATAAAGCAGGAATAAAGATGTTACACTTGTAGTCAGATATTACAGATAATGTCTAATAGCAGGTCTTCGTATTGCTGGGACCCCAAATTATATCCCATTTCCTTTGTTCTACCACTTTATGTTTCTGCAAGCAAAAGTTATTTCATTTGCTTGACAGGACAAATTTCTAATACAAATTATCTGATGCTGAATACCATTTTCAGTAGCTACAAGCCATGTTTTTAAATGAATCTCTAGTTGATATCTGTCAACTGCTTTAGCAGTATTAGTGTTATTAAGGTTAAACATAACTTACTATTTCACCTCTGTCAATCTATGCACAGCTTATACAGCAATGCAAATTTGAGTGGTGCATTCAGTACATTTCTTTCTTTCCTTTTTCTTTTGCTCAAGAGAAGTAACTAATGAACTGCTTTCACACTTGTGATTTTTTTGCAGCTTCCTACTAGTATTCAACAGACCAAAGACATTCCCAATCAACATCAATCAATCTTACAAAAAACAGTGTTCTGGTACAGCTGTATCATTCTACTCTTATTCCATTTAATTTATTCTGTTATTTCAAATTATGTGAATATTATATTTCTGGTTGCAAACATGATTATTAATTACACCTAATGTAGAACTGCCATCCAAACGTTTTCTAATGTGAACTGCTACCTCTTCATTTTAATTTTAGCACTAATAATCAATGCTACTTTTGATTAAAAGGCACAAAGTGAGCACTATTTGGCAATTTCCTAACTAGCATTGCCAAAGTTCAAATAGATCTTATACTACCGCTGTCATTTGGTTTCATCTCGCATACAACTGAGAGAACAAAACAAAACTATTAGTCAATCAAGTAGAATTCTAGACTAGCATATGCCAGCATATTCCCTTTGGGGGCTAAACACCAATTTGATTTTGTATACACATTATTTAAATAATAAAAACAAATTGAAAGCATCTCAAGCCTCCTTCTCTCTTCCAAATACAGACTATCTCCATCTGTCTAACTTAATTCTTGTGTAGCTTAGCAAAGGTGGCTTGATACTAAACACCAAAATAGGAAAATTTAATTTAAAATATCATCAGCAATTTGTACAGTAAAAAAGTTATTCCAAAAACCCAGAAATTAATGGAAATTCCTGTGAAGAAATTCTAGATTTTTATGAGAAACACAGAGTGTCTTGCTATTATTGCAGCATTTTCACCACAGGATATGCACTGTTCTAGTTTATTAAGCAATCTGTACTTTCACTCAGTCTGGCTAAATTAGGCTGTTGAAATGAAACTATATGGCATAGTCACCCAGCCCACACACTGCTCTACTGTGGCCATCCATCTTCTTTGGCACTGTTTGATTAGGAAGGAGAAATACTACAATGATCGCAATACTGCACTGAACACTGAGCAAAGTAATGTACTGCTGAAGTTGCTTGATCAGGAGACGTAGAAGTTGCTGCTCTGCCAGTGACTGCTCTGCTAGCTTTGTGCACACTCCAGAAACCAGAAACTACTCATGCTCTGCATCAGTTTCAGCTCACCTTTCTTGAAAAGCATCTCAGCAGATTACCGATAGCTTTGTATCCTACTATTTCTTGCTAAAAATCTTGGTAATAGTAGCATACTGCAAAACACCAAATTGAGTAAACTATTATAATTAATACTATGAACAACCCTCAACCTGTTACTGTTGAATTTTCTTGCAATTTTCCCAATCTCAGGGTGAATATAGAAAGTTAGTTTGAACACAGGTACCTAAAAGTAGAAAGCCAGTAAAGAAATATAACAGATGAAACAGAGTCTGCTGGAAAGCGAAGTACTTCAGGTTGACATGCAGACAGCATGTAACATGTGCAAGACTCAGTCCTGAAGATAAGACACATGGTGGAAATTTTATTTACTCATTCCCTTAAGCCTTCATCTTTGGTATTAGCTGAGAAACTTAGCTATGACGTTTCTTAGTTCTTTACTGGTCCGACTCTACTTTCTACATTATTTGCACATTTGTTCTTGAATAAGTCATAGCAAAACTATGCACTTTCAAAAACCAAAGAATTTTTTTCCTGTGCCCTATTTTCCCTGCTCTTTTCATTGTGCTGACTTTTTTTTGCTGAACAGCTGCAATTCAGAAAGAATGCAGTCATACTCTACTGGATTTCACTATCCTTTGGAAAACCAAGACATTGTGTAGGAGGCAAACCTCCTCCTTTTGCAAAAGACCCTTAGGGGCAATCATCATTAAAGACTGTCTATGCTTCTGACATAATGTTTAATGAAAGAAAATGTGGAGACGGGGATGAAGGAGTGAGGGGGCTGGAAGATTGCCAAAAATATATTGTTAACAAATTACAAACAAATTGCAAAACTGATGCAACATTGCTTCTAGGCAAGTATTTGGGAATATCATTCACATACACATTTATTCTAACCTTTTCTTTGTTTCCTGGTAATATTGCATGTTATAAAAGAACAAACTCTTAAATAGAGAAGTTAGT